CTCCATATCTGATCTCCAACTCTTTTCAGTTTTGCTGACTTCAATATAATTCTTTCTATTGGACTGTTTCTACTCCTTGTTAGCAACAGTATCCTTGTCAGGTGTCTCACAGCTCTGGCATGCCTAATATCTTGGGGCCTCCAAGGTAACTTCAGTTTCATAGCTTCTTGTTCTAATGTCTGGGATCCACACATGATCTGGGATTCTCCAAAGAGTCACTTCTCCAGTTCTGTTATCTTACAGCACTCTAGATTCTGGTTGACTTCATGCCACTGCTGCTGCAGTTCTTGGTGGTCATTCCATGGTACTGGTATCTCCAATACACTGGAGCTGCATCAAGGCTTCACCAGTAGCTTCTCATAGGCTCTCCTCAAGATTCCCTGCTACAACTTCTTTGCATGACCTCTTCAGTCCTGTGCTGTCAACTGCAACTGAAGCTAAACCTTAACCAATGGCCTTCTATGGCTTTACACATTGTCAAGCCTCAGCTGTTTTCCATGACCCTTTTGAAACCAGTACCATGGGTGACACTTGGGCTGTGTCTCATTTGGCATCCCCAAAAGACCAACGAGGAGCCAACTCCAATGTAATCACACTAGGGTCTCTTTATTCAAGCTAGAGTTTAGGCCTACTTATTGGTCAACACTGACATGGTAGGATGATTTGGTGAAGAAGCCCTGACCTATCACTGGGACAAAGTTTTATATTGGAGCAAGTGAGGGAGTGTCTATCCTGGCAAACATCTAATTGAATGACTATTGTAAGCTGACAGATGAGTGTTCTGAAGCAAGATGTGAACAATCACTGTCTGAAATTGCATCTGAAACAGACTAATCTTTGATTAACTATTTCTAGGAAGTAGCTTGGGAATAATTCTGGGATATGGGCCAAAAACCAGCCATGGGGTCCTTCCTGGTATATGAGTGTAGGTTCGGTTCAGCTCCAGTTCAAGTTCTGAGGCTTTTTTCTCTTAAAATGAAGTTTAGTATCAGAATGGAGTCCTCTCACTTACACATTACCAAATACAGCTTCAGCACAAAGTACAACCTTAGCTATCTCCGGAACACATAGTCTTTGTGCTATCAGAAAATAAATCCCATGAGATTTCACCACAGTGCTGCTGATCTCTTAATCACCACTAATTTTTTAGCTTCAGCTAACCAACATCAATTGTCCCGTAGTCTCATTCTCCTCTTGACTATAATGCTAGAGCAACATGGCTGAAGCTGCTTGCTGCAGCTTTATATGCCCCCTTATTCTATTCTATTTTCACCAGATTTCTGTTTTCGAACTTCTTCACTATACAAGCTTGGCTGTCCTGGAACTTTCTCTGTAGATTGACCTTGAACTCAGAGATCTGCATGCCTCTGTATTCTGAGTTTTGAGATTAAATATGTGAACCACCAGTCCTGGACATAAGCTTGTCCCTACTTGGAACTTGCTCTGTCTCAGGCTGGCCTTGATCTCAGAGATCTACTGGTCTGTGTCTCCTGGGATTCAGGCTGTATAATGCCATGCCTGAACCTAAGCTTTTAATGGCCAAGATTTAAGATCTGGGTCATAAGTGTATCCATTTCTGGATTGCACTTCATTACAGATTAAAAGTTCAAATGAAACAATAACCAGGTCATAATAATTCTTAGATTTAACCATCCCTTCTTTAACTGCAAAAGCATATGTTTATCTGTGTAGGATCTTGACCCAAGGTCACCACTATCTTAATTCCATTTAGCATCTTTGAACACAAGATTTAGCTTCATTCCACTTCCTAGTGCCCCTTTACTCTTTGACCCATGCATTTTGTATGTTTCCTTTCCTTCCTTGATATTTTCATTAAAATCCTCTTCACAAAAGTGAACTTTAGTATCTAAACACATCTTAAATGTGGGCAGACTTGTAGGACAATGGCAAAATGCAGCCACAAATTCACCAAAACAAAAAAAATCCAAACAAACAAACAAAAAACAATCTCTAGGCCACATACTAAAAGGCTTCTTCTATGAAACTTCTTGAGTTAGGTACCCACAGTTAAAACTCCATTCAGAAACAATCTTCCATGCTTCTAGTAGTATGACCCATTAAGCCCCACTTAAAGTATTCCACTGCTTTACAAAGTCCCCAAATCCACATTCCCCCAAACAAAAGCAGGGTCAGGCCTAGTACCAACTTCTGTCTTAGTTTGAGTTTTACTGCTGAGAACAGTCACTGTAAGGCAACTCTTATAAAGGAAAACATTTAATTGGGGCTGATTTTCAGGGTTAGAGGCTCAGTCCATTATCTTCAAGACAGGAACATGGGAACATCCAGGCAGGCATGGTGGAGGAGGAGCTGAAAGTTCTACATCTTTATCTAAAGGAAGCCAGGAGCAGACTGGTTCCCATGTGGCCAAGGGAAGGGTCTCAAAACCCACACCAACAGTGATACACTTCTTGTAATAAGCCCACACCTCCTCCAACAAGGCCACATTTCTTAATAGTGCCATACCCTGGTCCAAACACATTCAAATCACCACAAACAGTGGATATCTAGGAATAAGAACAGAGATACATGGAGAGACAGTCTTTAAAAAGCTCAGGGATTAATAAAAGGCTTTTCATGACAAGGAGATGTCTGCTTCTGGCATCATCCACAAAGAAGAATATGAGTATTAAATAAATTCCACATGGAGTTATAGTCTCCCACTTAAGCTTAAGTTATTTAAGATGTAAGAAAACAGTTTAAAGTCTAAAAAGATAATTTTAGGTTGGGAGTGCAGATTATGATACAAAATGACTTTAGTGTAGATATTTGGGTTCACCAAGACAGGATAGTTAGGAGAGTATTTTCCCCAAATTTGTCAAATACATATGGACTGGACATTGTAATGTAATTCTTTGCCAATAGTATTTATAATTTTTCTTATTCTATAGACTTTATTGATGATAGAAAAAATATTTTATTTTACTAAAAATGCTCAATTTAGGCACAAGCTCTTCTGTACTATGTGGAAGGATCACCTGTCAATAAAAATATTATAGCCAATGTAATGAGACAGGATTAGAAGATGAGATATCTGGCAGAGACATAGGAACTCTGGGAAACCGAGGCTGGAATTTAGCCATCTAAACTCTGGTAAAATCTGATGAATAAAATGGAGAAAAGGTAATCATCTATGGCAGACATACAATAGTATAAACAGGATAGTTGATTTATGAGCTAGTTTAAGAACAAGATTAACTAATGGCTTAGGCATTAATTTATAAATATATGTCTCCAAGTTTTTATTTGGGAATTGTGGTGCTAGTGGAACAGCCCATGATTATAGTTGAGAATTATTTCTTTAGATTTGTATACCATTTTAAATTGAATTACGTGTTTTTGAATATCAAATTTGGAAACATATACATACATATATATGTATAATACATGCACACACACACACACACACACATATATATATATATATATATAATACACACACACACACACACACACACACACATATATAAAAATAGATCTCTTATCAGAAGTGGCATTGGTAGAACTCTTTTTTCCATTCCATAGGCTTCCACTTTGTTCAAATAAAAATGTCCTTTGCTGTGTAGAAGCTTTTAACTTTCAGTAATTTCTATTTATTATTTGTTGATCTTAGCACTTGTGCTATTGGTGTTCTGTTCATGAAATCTTTTCTTCTGTAAATGAGTTGCAGGGTGTTATGTGCTCTGTCATTTATCAGATTTAGTGTATATGGTTTTATGCTGAGCTCATTGACTAATTTGGACTTGACTTTTTAAAGGATGGTAATTAAAAATCTACTTCAACTTTTCTACATGTAGTGATCCAGTGTGACCAGCCCTATTTATTGAAGAACCTGGGTTTTTCCTTTCTCTTTTATTTTCCTTCTCTTTTTTCTTTTCTTTTTCTTTATTTTTTATTTTTGTTTGTTTAATTTTGTTTTGTTTTCTCCACTGTTTTCCACACATTCCAGTATATTCATGTGTATTTTGGCTTCTTTGTTAAAAATCAGGGGTTCATAGAAGTGTTGATTTATGTCTTTGGATCAATGTATCTGATTTTAATGCCAATATAATGTTGGCGATATTATTATTTCTTTGTTCTATAGCTTGAAATCAGGAATGGTGAGAGTTCCAGCAGTTCTTTTACTGAGGAATTTTTAGCTGCCCTGGGTTTGTTTTATGTTTTCATTGCTGGGTTGGGTTGTTTTTATTTTTTGTTTGTTTTTGTTTTGTTTATGTTGTAGTTTTTCTGTACGAAGTTGAGAATTGTCCTTTCAAGGTCTGTGAATAATTGTATTGGAATTTTGATGGGCACTGCATTGAATCTGTAGATTGCTTTTGGTAAAATGACCACTTATAATATGGTAATCCTCTTAATCCAGGAGCATAAGTGATCTTTCTATCTTCTGATATCTTCTTCTAAGCCCAACATCATATCTAGCTTCTCCTCTCTCAAATATCTGAATACCCTCATTGTGTCTGAGTTTAAACAGTTCCACTGTAAAATGGAAGGCTACCATAGATGGAGATGCTGTCACATTAAAAGTCTAGAGTAGAGCGTTATAAGGCAAGTAAACAACACCACTGGTTGCTGGCAACATATACATTCCAGTTAGACCAGAATACCCAGGCTTGCTGGGCTCAGAGGCTGATCTGGATCTTGTAGGTCATTCTTACTTTATTGGGTTTTCTTTTGTTCCATATTTGCTTGTTCCAATATTCTGTAATTACAGGAAGGTCAGAGGTTTAGTTAAACTAAGAATGTTTAGCCAAACCTCAAACTGCCTAACTCAAGCGTTTTTATTTTTCTGAACATATGCCTAATTTCCACTTACAACTATTTTAAAGATATACAGTAAGTCAGCTGCAATGACAGGTGGGGTATGGATCTAAGGATTTCCACCACCCTTGAACATAGCATTGATGAATGAGTTGCTCAATGGTGGTGGTTAGGAGAAGCTAATAAGTCTAACCCAGGAAGGCCTTGTAACACCTAAGGCACTGCTAATACACCAACTTAAAATCAGAGTCAGAGCATCTTTTGGCTATATGCCCAGGAGTGGTATAGCTGGGTCCTCAGGTAGTACTATATCCAATTTTCTTAGGAACTAACAGACAGATTTCCAGAGTGACTGTACCAGCTTGCAATCCTGCAAACAATGGAGTCATGTTCCCCTTTCTCCAAATCCTTACCAGAATGTGCTGTCACCTGGGATTTTGATCTTAGCCATTCTAACTGGTGTCTCAGGGTTGTCTTGATTTGAATTTCTCTGATGACTAAGGAAGTTAAACATTTCTTTAGGTGCTTCTCAGCCATTAGATATTCCTCAGTTTGTTTAGTATATCTACCTCATTTTTTAATAGGGTTATTTGGGTCTCTGGAGTCTAACTTCTTGAGTTCTTTGTATATATTTGATATTAGCCCTCTATTAGATGTAGGATTGTTAAAGATCTTTCTCCAATCTGCCAGTTCCCATTTTGTCCTATTGACAGTGTCCTTTGCCTTACAGAAGTTTTACATTTTATGAGGTCACACTTGTCAATTTTTGATCTTAGAGCATAAACCATTTGTGTTCTGTTCAGAAAATTTTCCCCAGTACCCATGTGTTCCAGACTCTTCCTTGCTTTCTCTTCTATTAGTTTCAGTGTATCTGGTTTTATACGGGGGTCCTTGATCCACTTGGACCTGAGCTTCATACAAGGAGATTTACATTCTTCTACAAGCTTACTGCCAATTGAACCACCATCATTTGTTGAAAATGCTGATTCTTTTCCACTGGATGGTTTTAGCTCCATTGTCAGAGTTCAAGTGACCATAGTGTATGGGTTCATTTCTGGGTCTTCAATTCTATTCCATTGAAATAACTGCCTGTCACTGTACAAATACCATGCAGTTTTTATCACTATTGCTCTGTAAAACAGCTTGAAGATACAGGATGGTGATTTCCTCAGAAGTTCTTTTATTGTTGAGAATAGTTTGCTATCCTGGGATTTTTGTTATTCCAAATGAATGAATTTGAGAATTGCTTTTTCTAACTCTATGAAGAATTGAGTTGGAATTTTGATGGGGATTGCATTGAATCTGTAGATTGCTTTGGGCAAGATCGCCATTTTTACTATATTAATTCTGCCAATCCATGAGCATGGGAAATCTTTCTGTATTGAGATCTTCATGGATTTCTTTCTTCAGGGACTTGAAATTCTTGTCATACAGATCTGTCACTTGCTTGGTTAGTTTCACACCAAGCTATTTTATATTATTTGTGATTATTGTGAAGGTTGTCATTTCCTTAATTTCTTTCTCAGCTTGTTTATCTTTTGAGTAGAGGAAAGTTCCTGATTTGTTTGAGTTAATTTTATATACAGCCACTTTGCTGAAGTTGTTTATCACATTTAGTATTTCTCTGGTGGAAGTTTTGGGGTCACTTAAGCACACTATCATATTGTCTGCAAATCGTGATATTTTGACTTCTTTTTTCCAATTTGTATCCCTTTGACTTCTTTTTGTTGTCTAATTGTTCTAAAGATGCTCCAACATATGACAAGGACACATGCTCTACTATGTTCATTGTTGCCTTATTTATAATAGCCATAAGCTGGAAAGAACCTAAATTTCCTTCAACAGAGGAATGGATACAGAAAATGTGGTATATTTACACATATGAAGTACTACTCCACTGTTAAAAACAGTAAGTTCATGAAATTCTTAGGAAATGGATGGAACTAGAATATATCATCTCAAGAGAGGTAACCAGTAACATAAGAATACACATGGTATGCACTCACTGAGAAGTGGATATTGGTCCAAAAGCTCAGAATTCACTGACCATATGAAGCTTAAGAAGAAGGATGATCAAAGTGTGGATGTTTCAGACCTTCCTAGAAGGGGGAACAAAATACTCAAAGGAGGTAGAGGGTAGGAGGGTGTGGAACTGCATAAGGGTATCCTGGGCCATGGCTGAGCAGTTGCCTAGAACCCCGAGACTCTGCGTGAGAACCGGCAGGAGTTTGGTGCACCTCAAGAACCCAGGGTCCTGAAAAGCAGTCCAGTCTTCATAGAATTACATTGTTCAGTCACATAGGCCAGATTATAGGCCTCAGGCCCTAGGGATTTACATACTAATGAAGGCCAGACAGCCCCTCCCAAAGTGCACTGTTAGAAGGTGTGACTAGAGGCCTCAGGGCCTAGGGATTTGCATACTAATGAAGGCCAGAGGGCGGAACAAATTAAGCATGCCTCCCCAGATACTCCCTCATCCTCCCCAGATCCTCCCCCTTTCTCCCTCTCTATATAACTCAGGACTGCCCTGAGTTATGGGGGGCGTATGCCTAGATCCATCTACCATCCGCCATGACAATAAACTGTTTTGGAACCAAGGACTTCCTTGTGTCATTTTGGGCCTGCTGCGGCCAAAGCCTCCAGGCCACTGGAACCATAGATGTTCCTCCTGCATGTGGGACCCGTCCCAGTGCGTGGAAGCCTCCCCGGGACTCCACCGCTGCAGTGGCTGTTAGTATAAGTCTGAACCCGGTGACGTCATATTCAGGGGCCTGCG